AAAAAAAAAAAAAAAAAAAGAAATGATCGATTGAGTTCTCCTACTGGGGTTCAGAATTGAATTTATTCTGAAGAGTTGAAACGAAAATATTAATCTATTATCCTATTGAAACTCTATTCATCAACTAAACAAATCTTTAATCATAAATTATTTAGTACATATTTTATACGTAATTCTCAACACTATTATGAAATAAATTTAATTTCTAGTTGAACTGATTTTTAATTTTTCTTTATATTTATTTGCTTGATTATTTAGATTGATTAGATTAGTTATTTTAAATAACAAAATTATGAACTTTCTATTATAAACGATAAAGTAATAGATTTTATTATATATTTTCATGATATATTAAGAAGTTATATCACCTTATCATATTTGTAAGAACAACAAATACAATGAATTCAAAAAAATCTATTGATAGAATTATGTTAGTATCTTATGAATTCTACTCGAAACCATGAGAATCTATAAATTATAAGAAATTTTATTAAATATAGGATAGCCTCCTATATTTCTTATATTAGGTAGGAACGTAATGATGCTATACTAGATAATAACATCTATACTCGATTTAATTAAATTAACATTTTTCTGGATTTGCTACAAAACTATTGTCTTGAGCTGTCATATAGTAGTAATTGTCCCCAAATCTGTCTTGATTCCTAGTAAAGCGATTAAGGAAATTATTTATTGTTTAATTGATTTTCTAGTATGAGATTGTGTAATTTTATTTAAATTTGGACAGGAAATACTTTGTCTTGAATCTCATCATTGGCATTATACAAATTATAATGCTGATTGAAATTTGTTTCACGGAATATGGATTTTAACTTTTCTTTAATTTGTTAGCCAATATATGATTGTTTTACCTGAATAATCATTCCTATTTATTGGTTGCAAAGTAGGAAATCTGTTAAATTACACAATTAAAGTTTAATACCACCCAATATTTGGGCACTCTCATAAAAAATTACATATATATCTCCAAAATTCGATTACAAATTCACGTATTCTGATTTTAGTATACACACACACATATATATATATACACAATACAAGTGAGGCATCTAAATTCCAAAGTGAAAGAGTGAAGAGTGAGATCAGGAAGCAGGCATGGAGAGCAAAAACGTAAGAACCATCACTGTAGTTATGTTGTTGATGCTATTACTTGCAGGGCAAGCAAGTGCCTCTTTCAAATCTTGCATAGAACCTTGTGAAATCGGTTGTTTTTTGGGAAAAGATAAATTCAAGTGTTCGTTGAAATGCTTGATTAAGTGTATTACCGGCTTCCACTCGACAGCCTCGGGACCAGATTATTGCAAGCTTGGTTGTGCCATTCATCGATGTGCTCGTTTTGGCAGTGGTACGTACTTTTTTAATTTCCCCCTCCTATATATACTTTTGTGTGTGTGAGACATAAAAAACGCTAACCACGTCACGTGTATACAATATGACTTATTATATATGTATTATGTCGATATATTTGCAAAATATTCGATATCTTGAATTGAATATGACTTTATATGATTGAGGAAATAGAGACGTTGATTATATATGGTGCGTGTACCAAAAATGTCGTTTTCTTGTTTTGTGGGTCTATATATGTTTAAACGATTGATAAACTTATCGTTATTTAGACTTTGATATGAAACTCAATTTCTAAAAGAGAATTTTACAAATAAAATTTATATAAGTGACATCAAAAATTTGAAATAATAGAGTAACTTGTGGTAAGGCAATGAGATTTCTGTAATAGTTTGTACATGCTAATGTATCTTAGTAATTGTTGAATATTACAGATATTAACAAAGTCGATAGCTGTGTGAATGAATGTGAGGTTGGCAAATGCAGCCAGTTGATGAAATCGAACGGCATAGCATCACCGTCGTCAACAAATGGAGCTCCACCACCGAGCCATTAATGGTGACATTAATTTAGGGTTCAGTCTCATTCATCTTTGCTAGCCAAGTTAATACAATAGCCGCAACCCCTTTCCAGCCATTGGCACTGAGAATTAATGAAGAAGTAATTTTGTGCCATATATATATATATATATCTCTCTCTTCCCCCAAAATGTCGTTCAATTAAAGTTCTTCAATTAAGCTTCATTTGATGCTCCGGCCAATGCGCACACGTTTCTATTTGTTTGGTATCGGGTGTGCTAATTGTGCACCAACGTCACATATCATTTCTAGCTTCCAAACCTAAAGGTCAATTTTATGGAATTGAACCGAATCGAACGACTTAATTGAAAAAAAAAAAAAGCTCAATACCTAATTCGGTTTTAGATCATTAATCGGCTATAATAAAATGAGTAATGCTACTTGTATATCCAGAAAAGAAAAAAAAAAGAAATTTGAGAGAGAGAGAGAGGAAGGTAGAAAACCAGTTAAATTTTAATATAGTGTCAAGTCATCAATCCATAAATAATTATGTACATATAGCATTAGTCTAATAAAATCAGCAAAATTCACACAAGTGACCATACAATCTCAAAACTCAGTTTATCTGGTCCCCGTTAAAGGAAATCTCAAACATATATCATGCCTGCTTGTGCAACGCATTTAAGCATCCATGTTGAAAGGCGTGGTTGCCCCCCTTCACATATGCTCTTCTCTATGGGCCCATTTGGCTAGTTTTTTGTTTTTGTTTCTTATGGAAAAACTTCATGGAAAGCCATCTAGAACTCGTTTGGCAAGGTTTTTGAAAACTCAAAAGTTGTTTTTGAGCATGTTTAAATAATTTTGAAATTCAATTTCATTGCAATGCTATAATCCATGCTGTAAATTTGAAAGTGCTCGACTTCCTTGCTTAAAATTTATTAACATTCTTTAAAAAGGTTATTGTAAATAATCGAACCAATATTGAAATTATTAAAAGAGCGTTTTATATGGTTATAAGAGCTTTTAGAAAAAAAATGAAATAAGGTAATTTTTTCAAGAAGTTATTTTACAAGTAGTATAAATCTTGTCGAACACGCTCTTATGTCAACTTCTTCTAAAAGCTCTTCTAATAAGACAAAACTCATTCAAAAAATTATTTAAACAAGTTTAGATGCAGTTTCTCAATCTCAAAAACATCTTTTGACATTTCTAAAATCTTACCAAACAATCCCTAAATTTGTAATCCCATTAATGATTCTTCCATGTGGGACTAAACAATATGTCCCCAACAAGTATTTCCGTCTACTTTTTTTTTCCTTTATTTTCAATTGTTTTCATATAGTTGTGTTTATATTTCTCCTTATTAAGCAAAATAATTATTTGTTTACATTTCATTTTAATCTCCTTATAATTTAAAGATCAAAGTCAAACTTGACACATTTCATATGACCTGCAACTACTACAAACTTGTTGTGATGGAAGTAACTAATCAACCTAACTAGGCTCGACTTGCAAGCAACACAATCAACCATCAAACCAATAGAGGAATGACATGGGTGATGGACTCGTAACAAGGTGCAAAGCCTAAAATTTTGCGATCTCATGACTATCACATTCAGGGATGTAGCCAGTATTTCAATCTTGGGGGGAGGGCCCTCCTCTGGGTCGCCCCTGAATTTTTTATTTTTTTTAACTAAGAGGATTGAAAACGATGATTTTGAGTACCAAAATAAGCAAGTTAGATTGACTGACCAAAAAGACCAATCAATTTGTCGATACAAAAATAATATGTCCATTTATGTGTCTAATACTATACAAATTGAAAAGATGAACGTTAGATAGACATTTTGTGGGCTGTGGCCTGTGGGTATGCTTTTGGATAATTGATTCATAAATGTGTCCTTTACTTTTGGATTGAATTTGGGCTATTTATTTATTTAAGTAACTATTTGATCTTTTGTTTAGGCCTAAAATTTTTGTATGGTTATTGGGTCAATATTTAAGTATGATTTTGGATTGGATTTGGGCTTTTGTTGAATTTTAAAGTGTAAATTATTGGATCAATATTTATTAATGGAAATTTTTTTTTGAAATTTTACGGGGGCGAGTCAAAATTTTTGGGGGGTGAAACTGAAAAATACATTACAAATTAATTAGGAATAGTACACCAGGGGACAATGTTGGGGGGGGGGGGGTGTTGCCCCCCTGCTCCCCTATCTCCGTCTCTGATCACATTTGAGAACTATTCAACTAACTACATTACACACATACCCATAACACGAAGCCACATCAGCCATTACCTAGGGGAGCACTAGCACTACGAAGGGCGGTTCTTTTTCTTACAGTTAGTATCCATCAAGAAAGGAAAACTATATTACAGTAATACTTCATAGTTTTTTTGTACAAATTCCTTTTGAAACAATCCCCTAACTTGTAGAATCACAATTTCAATGGCTGCCTGGATCAATTTTTCTTATCTAGTATTGTAGAATTTGAATGTGAAGAAAAATTCCAACTTAATAACCAAAGATGGAAAAGGAAAATGCATTTTCTTTCGAATTTGTCTTCCTCATTGGAAAATCAAAAGCTGCAGCGATAATTGAGAATAAGCAGTGTAAAGTCTAATTTGTAATTGGCAATTTCCTTAGTTAAAATCATATCCTAATTGAATTGTATTAGGAGTTTATCGAGTTGTAATCAAAATCAAAATATGAGTTATTGAGTCCTAACTAAAGTCAAAAGAATTGAAATTGTTAGTATAGGTCTCGTGGAATCATCTATTTTTCATGGATCAACGAAGAACACCGCGTTCTTCACAGACTGGAACTCCAGTCAACCTTTCTCGATTTTCATAACTCTGATCAGATGTAGAGAAAAAGCAATTTGATATTTGGATCATAGAAACAAGGTTTTTCTCACCAAAACATCAAAGTAGATGAAAGCTGAAAGATAGAATCGAATGAATCTCTCATAGATGTAGCTCTCTCAATGTTCAACATTATGAATTTCATACAGAAGTGTTTTAGTATATATAGGTAGGTTAGAAAAACAAATGGGCCGGGTAAAAATGTTTTAAATTTCGAAATAAAAATTTTCCGGATAAACACTTCGCTTGAGCGAAGGTCGAGCTGTAGTATGTCGCTCGAGCGAGGAAGGGCGAGACAGTCCAGCGACAATGTTTCTGTTTTTGTAGCTCGAGCCAAACCTTGGCGACAATCTAGCGAAAATCCGCGCCGTTTTCCTCTTTTTTTCATTCTTGAACCCTAAACCTAATAACCCTATTTTCAACTATTTGCACGTTACTCATTGAATTTTTAAATATAGTACAATTCAATTTTTTTTTTTTTACAAAATTGCCAATTACAAAATATCTAAAACCTAACAAACACCAACACCAAAACCAAATTTTCTCTCATAAGCAGCAGCAACATCTCCAAACCCTACCATTGTGACGCAGCCACCACCATTATCATACACTGCAACCTACATCTCCACCACACCACCTCTTCCAAATCTTCCACCCTCTCAACCAGAAACCAGGACATTTCTGCATTATGGATCCAAAAAACCCAATCTAAGCACTGGATGGAACCCTAAGCCGAGGTTCTTCAATCGCCCACTAAACCCTCATAGTAAGCCGCTGACAACAATCCCATCGGTGGCAGCCTCCTTAGAACCTCCCAACAAAAACTCCTTGAGCCTTAAACATCAACCACATATCTCCATTCCCGGTTCAATCTGTGTGTACGTGTAATTTCCAATTCATTACAATCACAAAACAAAAATTGAACAAATTTTTTGAAATCAAAATAACCATATGGATTTTTTATTATTTACTTATATAAATCCATTGCTCATACAACTTATCAGTGCTGTATTATCTAACGAATAAATTTGTTGATGACTTTTTTTGTCACAATTTATATTAGTGATAGAGAAATTTCCCATCTTTGTTCAAAATATGGGATCCTAATTTACATAAGATATTTAAACTCATCTCTTTCAAAATGTTAAATATTGTTGGATGTGTGGAATTTAATATACTGCACACTTTTCCTCGATTGTAGTTCGGCCTAATAAGTGTTACATGGTATTTTGAAAAATTCGAATATGTATTAGGCCATCTTAATATTTATCTCAAATGTGGAGGATATTAGAGCGAGCCTTCTATCTGAGTATGGTCGTATTAGAGGGAAGAAAGAGACAAACGAATGGATGAGAAGTGCATCCAAATCACATTGTAATTTTCTTCTATATATTGCAATTTTGTTGTAGTATTGCGTGGATGAAGCTCTCGCATTTAGAGTGAACCACATTAAATCATGTTTTTTTTTCCTTTCATTTTTCTATTTCGCATTAGTCTCAAATGGTATGGATAATTTGTTGGGTAATTGGAGCAAAACGTCCCTACCTTTGACAGGTCTTGTGCATAACATCCCTACCTTTTATTTTTTGACGCGGGTTATTGGCGCAAAACGTCCCTACATTTGAAGGGTTGTGTGGAAAACATCCCTACGTTTGATTTTTTAGTGCGCAACGTCCCTACCTATCAAGTTTATTGTAGAAAACATCCATACCTTTCATTTTTTGGCACAAAACGTCCCTACCTTCTGCATTTCTTTGCACTGAACATCCTTTGCACATTTTTTTT